TATATATATATATATATATATATATATATATATATATATATATATATGTATGTATTTAAGGTGCTGTTTTTGCATGACAATCCAGTGACAAGGATGCCTGCAGCACCAGCACAATGTTATGACATCACACGTGCCGTTGAGTTTAGATTTGTGAGAATTTACAAATTTGTACTGTTCGAGTGTTGTCATTGTGTTAGAGAAAATGTCATGAATAAATTTGACATTAAACATAATCCAAGTTGAAGTGTTACATCCTTTTCAGCCCCCTTTTTGGCATCTGCATTTGGTAGCAGGACAACCTGACAAAGACCTTGCAGAATAATGTATTTTAATTCCACAGCAGAGAAAGTTATGTAGTGTGTGTAAGTAGGTCTAGAAAAAAAATCACTGGTATTAATCCCACAGTTCACAAAATACTAAGACCAGGGCAGTAGTCCAGATAAGTTCAAGGGGTTTGAACAGTTCAATAAGTCAATAAAGACTAAATAAGTCTTTAGGGGCCTTTAGTGAATGTAGAGGTTCTTGTGTGTATAGAGCAGTCCTTCTCAAATAGTCCCGGCAGGGGCCGCGCATGTGACCCTAGAAAACATGCTTTGTCTTGCTGCAGGGAGTAATTTTTGTTTTTTCACCATTCTTATTTTGTTGCGTGCATTCCTAATAATAAAGTTATGAACAAATATGGCTGCCTTGTCATTTTGGGAGCCATGCGTGAACCGTGTCTCTCCCCTCTGCTGCTGACACGATAAATAAACTCCGACCATCACCTCCTCCGTCCTCCGCTGCTGCTTTTATGTCCATGCCTCTGGACGTCACTCACAGAACGCATGAAACAAAGAGTAAACTTAAGCGAGAGCGACACCTGCCCCCTCTTTCCTCTTTTGCATTGACAAAATGTTTTAGTTTTATCGATGAGTTTGATAAAGCACAATTTACAGAATTAATGTTTAATAAATGTTAGAACTGTATTAAAAACTTTTATTTATAATGTACTTTACATTCACAGTGAATCTCAAAGTGCTACAAAGAGTGAACATCAGATAGCATCAGGATAAAAGCAACCATAAAAGCAACCGAGAGAAAAACAACCAGGAGGATAACGCCTCAGAATGAACACATCAAAAAAACTTAAAATGCACAAAATGCAGATAAAATACTCAAATAAGAACTATGGGTGAATAAAATAAAAAAAAAAGTACAGTGCAATCAATTAAAAAACTGGGTAAAAAGAAAGGTTTTAAGACCCTTTTTAAAACATGTCGCGGTCTGTGGAGCCCTCAGATATGAAGGCAGGGCATTCCACAGACGAGGGGCAGCGCAGGAGAAAGCCCAGTCTCCTGTTGTGCAGGATCGAGACCTGGGAGTGAGAAGAAGATGTGTGTTGGAAGAGCAGAGAGTGCGTGAAGGGCAATGATGGGTGAGAAGTTCTTTTAAATAAGATGGTGAATTACCGTACAAGCATTGGAAGGTGAGCAGATACATTTTGTAAGTGATCTGGGCAGAAACAGGAAGCCAGTGAAGTGAACTGAGTACAGGGGTGATGTGCTCATGCTTACGCACTCTCATCAGGACCCTGGCAGCGCTGTTCTGGACATACTGTAGTTTCTGTATGTTCTTGCCAGGAATCCCAATGACGAGTGCATTCCAGTAGTCCAGTCTGGAAGAGACAAAGGCATGGACGAGCTTTTCTGCATCGGTGAAGGACAGTGTAGACCAAAGCTTTGCAATATTTCAAAGATGAAAAAATAAGTTTTACATATATGCTTTATATGGCTTTCAAAGGTGAGTTGTGAATCACAAATAATACCAAGCTTGGTAACTGTATTGGAAAGAGAAATGTTCTGGCCAGAGAAAGAGATACTGAGGATTTTTTGTTGTTGAATTTGGTGTGAAGTACCAATTTGAATTGCTTCCATTTTTGAACTGTTAAGGTGAAGGAAATTTTGCTGCATCCATGCCTTTATCTCCTCCAGACAAGCTGTGAGTGTGGAAAGAGAAGAAAGTGGAGAAAATGGAGAAGCTGAAGATGATGTAGATGGGGTCTCAGACACATTGCTACCCAGCTTAAGATACAGCTGAGTATCATCAGCATAGCAATGGAATGAGACCCCGTAGCTGCTGATAATACACCCAAGTGGTACCATGTACAAGTTGAAAAGAAGGGTTCCCAGGACTGATCCCTGGGGCACACCACAAGAAACAGGATGGCTCAATGACTTGGCACGCCCAATGGAGACAAACTGTTCTGTCCGTCAGGTATGATTGGAACCACTCCAGGGCAGTGCCAGTGAGCCCTGCAAAATTCTTTAAACGGTGGGGTAGGATGTAATGATCCACCGTGTCAAAGGCAGCCGAAAGATCGAGAAGAATAAGGAGAGAAGAGGAACCACGATCAGCATTGATCAACAGGTCATTTGTGACCCGGATCAGAGCTGTTTCGTTGCTATGAGCAGTACGGAAACCTGATTGAAATTTGTCCAGTATCCTATTGTCATGTAGATGTTCTTGTAGATGAACTGAGACTAATTTCTCCATAACTTTAGCGATGAAGGGAAGGTTGGAAATGGGTCTGTCGTTTGCCAAGTCATGAGGATCAAGGGTAGGTTTTTTTGAGAAATGGTTTAATTATGGCTGATTTCAGGGCAGGGGGAATATGACCATATTGAAGGGATTGATTAACTATGGTGGTGATAAAAGGTCTGAGAAAGGCAATATTAGCCTTGACTAGGGCTGTTGGGAAGGGATCAAGAGCACATGTGGAGGGTTTCATCATAGCCATGACAGTGGCTTCAACTTCCTTCACACAGACCTCTGGGAAAGAACAGAAGGGGGGAGGATTCCCAGGCTGTACATTTGCAGCTGGAGAGAGGGCAGGGGGTGAAATGGTGATGGCTGATTGGATTTTTTGGATCTTGTTTTGGAAAAAGGAGATAAAGTTGTTACAAAGATCATTAGTGGAGTCATTGAGTGATGTTGTTCGTGGTTGAAGGAGGTGAGTGATGGTTGAAAAATTTGCTAACAAAATAAATTCACCTCCTCAGTTAAGCTGCTGTTTTTTGATGCTCTGATGCTTCTTCCTCCAAGTTTCTCTTATGATTTGTTCTTTGTTCGACTGCCCCTAGTGGTCTGGAGCACTTCCGTTTTTGTGGAACGAGTTTGCTGGTGTTTTCACTGTTTGCAGCAGTTTTCTGTTGCATATGTTATTTGTATTTGCATGTGTTTTTTGTGTTTTTTGTGTTTGCATGTGTGTGTTTTTTAGTTTGTGTTAGATTTTTTTTAGTTTGCATTAGTTTTTTGTGTTTGCATTTTCCTGTTTGCGTGTTTTTTGTGTTTGCATTTGATATTTTAGTGTTTGCGGTTGTTGTTGTTTTTTTGCATGTTTTTTTGTTTGCATGTGTTTTTTGTTTGTGTTTGCATTTGATTTTTTTTGTGTTTGTGTTTGTTTTTTGTGTTTGCATTATGTTTGTGTTTGCGTGTTTTTGAGTTTGCATCATACATGTGTTTGCTGCGCGTTTCGCCATTTGCTGCGGGTTTGCACCCGTCGGCCACCGTTTTACGAACTCTTGTCACCCACAGCACGCAGGTGACAAACAGTGAATTCAAAGCGAGAGGGTTACCTGCTCCCCCTTTCCTCTTTAATGTTGACTTTTTTTTTTAGTTTAATCGATGAGTGGACTAATTGATCCTGACTTCATTTTGATAAAAAAAAATAAGCACAAATTGTTTTATTCATTTTTATTTTGTAGGTCAAAGCGTTTTATAAAACACTCCTGAGTTAAAATGTTGCTGATCAATTTGAATTTATTATTATTTATTGATTATATTTAATTTTATTTTTCAGTATCAAATGGTCCAAAATGTTTGCAGTTTAAATAAGGATTTTTTTTTTTTTCAGGCAAATTGATGCACTTTAAGTTGTTTCTGTTACAGATTAAAAAAAAAACAATGTTAATAAAACACAAAGTTTGTTTTCTCAGTCATCCAGGTATATAACAACAAAAAAGGTTGAATCATGTCATCTGGACTTCGTTTTTTTTTGTTAAAAAGAAACGTTTCGCCCCTCATCCAAGAGGCTTCGTCGGTCTGAGGCCTAGCCATCTGGTATTACCCAGAAGCCACCCTGACTCTTGTGTTTCAAGCCTGCCTCAGACTTTGTGTTTTTGAAACCATTAGTGAAAAGGCCAGACTTCAGGGGTATCTGAGGCAGGCTTGAAACACAAGAGTCAGGGTGGCTTCTGGGTAATACCAGATGGCTAGGCCTCAGACCAACAAAGCCTCTTGGATGAGGGGCGAAACGTTTCTTTTTAACAAAAAAAATGAAGTCCAGATGACATGATTCAACCTTTTTTAATGTTAATAAAGTTATAAACTCCTGTTTGGCCGGTCTCCATGACTCCCTATCGACCTTTGTTTTGGCTTACAAGTTAGAGCACTCTATTTCCCACCTCCAGACCACAGGGTGTCACCTGCTTATTGAAGTGGCTTTTGTTTTTCTCGGCCGACTTGACTGTGCTCTGTGTGGCTAATCTATAACTCTCCTCAAGCCGAGATCGGAGATTCTCAACACACTCTGAGTGGGAGGAAAATAGAGGTTCTCTAACTGGTAAGCTAAAGGCTAAGTCGACGTCACATCACGTGGGTTCAACTCTACATTAACAACCGAACATGTCAAAAACAGCTGTAGGTAAGGGATTTAGTAGGGTTTCTTGCAGAACCTTACTTTTGAGGATAAATAGTTTAGTTCTGAAAGGATGAATGAGCTACTAGATGGTTCAAATATGTATCTACAGCAGGTAAGATAATAACTGTTCAGAATTTTTGCACAGAACCCAACTTTAAACAGTAAAAACTACCCCTTTGAACATGTACTTCCACATCAGATGAATTGTAAGAGATTATGACAGCTTTTTATTTTGTTTTGGCTCACTGTTGATGAACTCTACCCCTGTTGGTGTTCCAGAAACAAAAATCAAACGTTATGACCCCCGCACGACGCTGCGGCCGCCTGATGGAGAGCTGCTCCTCACACGTGCCCTGCTGCGACCCCTGCGCCTCCTGTCGCTGTCGGCTCTTCAACACCATCTGTCACTGCTGGAGGATGAACCCTCTGTGTCTGAAGAGGACCTAAGAGTGCACACAGACGTGTAACACACAACTGATGTACACATAAAACCCTGCACACAAAGTGGTACACTACTTCACACACAGGAGCCTGGAGCCATTTTCTGTATTTCAACATAAATGTAACATAAGGTTGTTATTTAATGAGGTAAGTTAGTCCCAAACGTTTGACCTGTTGGTTGCTGACAGAAGAATGAAAAACATTTTTTATCAATAGCACGACAATCAGATTTTAGAGAAAAGTAAACTATAGAAAACTGTTGATGTGGAGGAGTCTGAAGGAAAAACAACTTATGGGAGGAAACCTATAAACATTTTCTCTGCACAGAGGAAGCAGATTAGCTGAGTTTAGGTTTATTTAAAATGTGTTTTATCCACTCACATGTTTGTACTGTAATTAGAGCACCATCCTCAAGGAATAAAAATAAATCAGTTTTTTCCTCTTTTAATTTATACAGTATAAAGCTGCACAAATTTTTGATTCAAGTAAGGTTTATGTTTTTCTTGTAAATTTTCTTAGGTTGCTCCACTTGTTTCCCTTGACTGAAAAACACCAGACTGAGGAACGTTCATTGACATTTTAAATTGATCCTAAAGTGTGTATAAATGTCTGTTTGCCTATGACTGACTGGGTGTATATTACCTTCACCTGTTTACTGTTGAGAAAGTGCTGAGTCCCTCACACAACCCTGAGCAGGTGTAGAAAATGAATGGATCCAGTAATAAAGACAACTGGCCCTCTCACAAACTGTCCATCAAGGAGTATTTCAGCCACTTGAATTAATGCTCATTGTAAAGTTTATAAGCTGCCAACATCTTACCTGTTGTAGATAGTCCTTTGAGCAATCTCGGTTTAAAGAGAGTTTAATTATGACCAGACTGACAATCAAATGGCCAGCTCAAATGCAGCTAAAACTGAAGTGGCTTGCTGTTGTCTTAAAAAAGTTAATTTGCAATCCTTAAAATTTCACAGTAGCTTGTGCAAAGGCCATCTCTCTAAACTAACAATGGCATAAAGGTTAACAAAATACAGTAGTCCCTCGTTTATCGCGAGGATCTGTACCCTGAAGCCCCGTGATAAGTGAAAAACCACGAAGTAGGAATAGTAGTACAAATAGTAAGGAGTAATTTATTTTAGTATACAGTATATATATATATATATATATATATA